AATATTATAAATTATGATGTAATTAAATTATATGAAATTGAATTTTGTAATTATATTAAATATTATGTGTTTTTTTGTAAAAGTTACCATAAAAAAACTCCAAAATGAAATTTCTAGTTTTATACATAAAATTATTGTACATATGTTGTAACTTTTTACGGCTTTTAAAAAAATTATGATGTAATTAAATTATATGAAATTGAATTTTGTAATTATATTAAATATTATGTGTTTTCTGTAAAAGTTACCATAAAAAAAACTCCAAAATGAAATTTCTAGTTTTATATATAAAATTATTGTACATATGTTGTAACTTTTTACGGCTTTTAAAAAAAATAATTTAAAAAAATATTACAAAATATACATATATCTAAAAATATTGTATTACTACACAAAAAAATTCCTAATCTTAATCTCAAATGCACCATGACTCATATCGTCTGGTGACTGTGTGGGGTGCTCCATTTAGTCTTCTCTAATGCACGTCATGATCATTTGTTGAAAAATTTGTTCTTAATGTTATCCAACCAAGGAGAGTCAATTGCTAAGAACACGAAACAATAGAGAAGCAGAAAATAGAGGGGAAACCAAAGAAACCAATTAAGAACACAAAGGGAAAGCGCTCAGTTACATTAATTAGATTTGAGATTTAATGGATTCAATTTCTCATATCTAATTTCTCTTTCATATTACTTAATGTTGTTTTCAACTATATTTATCTCATGTCCAATAAAAGTAAGTTACCTTCTTTTAATTTCAAATTTCTCCAATAACTTAGATAATTTAGTGGTTTTGTCTTTCATTAAAAATAAAAGATTCTGAATTAAAGTCGCATAATATATATGTAAAGTGAAATAATAGATGAGAGATGATTACCTCTCATTGTATAATCAAGATAAAATAAAATTTCAAATTTCATAATAAATTATAGAAAACATCACTTAATATTTTTAAGTTTACTCTACGAATAATAAAATAAAATATATATAATATCATATGTTTCTTTGAATAAATATTCTATTATATATTACAAATACCATAATAAGACTTTATATCCATATCATGTTAAACCAAACTCTGTTTGTGAGGCATTCCACGTGCCTAGCGCAACGACTACTTGTGCCTTTTAGGGTAGGCCGTGGTTTGCATCCTATGTCCCGGGTTCAATATTCTCTCTGCACACTAACACCTCTAACACACTAACACTTTTAATCATTGTCTTTTTTAAATAAATAAATAAATAAATAAACTCAGTCGGTGAGACCCACCAAAATGGGCACTCTGTCTGAATTAACCAAATTGCTGACCTCATCTGTTAAGAAAGAGGGTGGGTTATAAGCCACCAATTGAGGAGTTGAAGGGCTTAAAAGCATTTGTTTTAGTAGAGGGGCTGATTTATCGATATTTGAAGAGTACAAGGGCTGATATTCCTTTTGGGCCGTGATGAAAATTTCTCTGGTCGAGAATGGCCTTCCTTCCCTTAGTTGGGCAGTCAATGTCATAGACCTACCACTACCACAGAGCCTTGTCATTCATTAGAAGGATCAACAATCTATCGTCTCTTTTTTCTTAATGT